ATTAGTCTTTATATTTATAATTTTTTAAGATTTCAATACCAAAATAATGTCGTTTTGAGAATAAATGCAGATAACTACTGCAGAAACATTTTTCCATTATATCATTTAAAATCACAAATATTTTTCCTTAAATATAATGTAGTAGAGTCTCCAGATAACCGTTGGTGAAAAAGGATATTCAAATGGAAATAGTTTCTCCATCTGCTAACCTATCCGTGGGCAAGTCGAGAAAAGAGGTCCACAATCAAGTAGTAAAATTCAAAGAGAACCAAAAGAAGAAAGCAACTGCATCATCTGCTAAAGTTCATCGGCTGGTCCAGAATGCTAATATTAGCAAAGGCAGATTAAATGCTTCAAAATATGCAGATTCTCAAAAGAATAATTTTAAACTTGATTCTCAGAAGAATATGTCGGAGGATTTCCAAGATAGACAAATTGTCTTGCACCCTTCTTTATCTAAATTCCAGAGGAAGACATCTCATGTGGTTAATGATCAGCAAGAGACTCTTCTTTCTTCTAGTGGCTTGGACAATGGAGGTAAACATGGAAGACCACCAGATGCTCTTACGTTAATGAGGAATTTTTATCACACTCACAAGGATTCTATCCCTTTGGATAATTTGGACGTTTTGGGTGCGACTTCGGTTTATACCAATGCTCTTTCTTAGGGCCGGTTTCTGTTCGGATAAATTTAAGATTGTTTTTATGAATGTTTTGACCTGGAATTGTAGAGGGGCTGGGAAAAGGAGTTTTCTGCCTCTGATTCGGGATATTTCTCATAGATACAGTATTAAAGTTATGGCTTTGTTAGAAACCAGATTGAGTGGTGTTATGGTGGATAGAGCTATTCAGCGTCTTGGTTTTTCTGGTCACTTTCATCGTGATGCTATTGGTTTTTCTGGCGGTATTTGGGTGCTTTGGAATACTGATGAAGTTTCAGTGGATGTTCTTTTTTCTCATTACCAACTTGTTCATACTAAAATTTGTTGGGTAAAAGAAAATAGAGAGGAGTTCATGACTTTTATTTATGCAAGTCCGCGAAGACAGAAACGTATTCAGCTGTGGGGAATTCTGTCTTCACTGTTTGATCAGTCCATGATGAATGCAGCTTGGGGGATAGCAGGTGATTTTAACACTTATTTGTATGAGTATGAGAAGCTAGGTGGTAATGGGCATAACTGGAATATCATGAGGGAATTTCGTGATTGTTTAGATGAATGTAGCTTGTCTGACATTGGCAATCAAGGTCCTATTTTAACTCGGCAAAGAAGAAATCTTCAGGAACGTCTTGATAGGGTTTGCGCTAATGATAATTGGAACTTGGTTTTCCCTAACCGTGTGGCTTTCAACTTGCCTTTCTTTGGCTCAGATCATCGACCAGTGTTATTATGGGAAGGTCAACCTGCTATTTATCCGAGAGGGGAGCGTCCTTTCCATTTTCTAGCGTCCTGGTTAACAGAGAGCACTTTTCATTAGGTGGTTAATGGATGTTGGTCAAACAATGTAAACTGGATGCATGCTATGGAGACATTTCGGATTAATGCTTCGGAATGGCATAGAAATGTTTATAGGATTGCTCTGAAAAGAAAGAATGATTTGCATGCAAGGATTAGAGGTATTGATAGATCTCTTAGTTATCAGTACAGTCATAGCCTTGAGATATTGCAAAAGGATCTATGGAGGGAACTAGACAAGATTTATCTTCAAGAGGAAATCACTTGGTTTCAAAGATCGAAATTGAATTGGTTTGCTCTTGGAGATAGGAACTCGCGTTTCTTTCATTCTATGACGGTTGCCAGACATAGGAGGAATGGCATAGATACGTTGAAAAACTCGGAGGGAGTTTGGATTGGTGATCAGCAGGTTTTAATGGAAATGGTTGTTTCTTTCTTTGAAAATCTGTACACAAAAGATCCATTACCTAAACCGGCTTTTCCAGTTCGTGGCTTTTTTCCAGTTATTGAAGCGCATGCTTTAGACACGACGAGTATTATGCCAAACAGTACGGAGATCAGAGATGTAGTCTTCTCTTTTGGTTCATACAAGTCGCCTGGGAAGGATGGGCTTAATGCTCTTTTCTTTCAATCTTAGTGGGATAAGGTGGGTGAGTCAGTTGTCTCTTTTGTGAAAGGTGTGTTCCTTCATCCGGATAATATCAAAGAGGTTAACCAAACTTTGATTTGTCTTATTCCTAAGATTGATGTGCCTGAATTACTTAAAGATTTCAGACCTATTAGCCTTTGTAATGTTATTTACAAGACTGTAACTAAGATTGTGGCTAATAGGCTGAAATTTCATATGGCTCACTTGGTTATGCCTAATCAATGTGGTTTTATTAAGGGTAGACAAGGAGTGGATAATATCATTATGGCTCAGGAAATCATCCATTCCATGAATAAAAAGAGAGGAGGTAAGGGTTGGATGACTGTCAAAGTTGATTTAGAAAAGGCTTATGACAAGATTTCTTGGGAGTTTCTGAAAGACACGCTTGTGGATGTTGGTTTTCCTGAGAATATAATTTCTCTGATCATGTGTTGTGTCTCGTCATGTACAATGAATTTGTTATGGAATGGATCAACTACGATAGAATTTTCTCCTAATCAAGGTCTTCGTCAGGGAGATCCTTTGTCTCCTTATCTTTTCATCCTTTGCATGGAAAAACTTGCTCATTTGATTAAGGTAGCAGTTCAGGAGGACGTTTGGAAGCCTATCAGATTGAATAGAAGGGGACCACTACTTTCCCATCTATTTTTTGCAGATGATCTTCTGCTCTTTACAAAAGCCACAGAAGGGGAAACTGTTATTATTAATAAGATTCTTGATTGTTTTTGCAGGTGCTCTGGTGAGAAGGTTAGCAAGGAAAAAACAAAAGTCTTCTTCTCCAGAAACGTTAATCATACCCGAGTGCATAATCTAAGCCAGTTGATGGGCTACTCTCCTACAAATGACTTGGGTAAATACTTGGGTATTCCTCTTCGTCATAGCCGAGTTACAAAGAGTACGTTTGGCTATATCTTAAATCGGATGCAAGCTCGTTTAAATGCCTGGAATCAACGTACTCTTTCATTGGCAGGAAGATCAACTTTGGCTAGGTCAGTTCTTACTGCAATTCCTCAATATCCTATGCAAACTTGTATTATTCCTAGTGGTACGTGTGATCGTATTGAGAGTGCAACTAAGAATTTCATTTGGGGATCAACTTGTGAACTAAGGAAAGCTCACCTGGTTTCTTGGGAGACGGTCTGTTTGTCGAAGAATGTAGGGGGTCTTGGTTTTTGTAAAATTAAAGAGAATAATATAGCTTTTTTCATGAAGCTAGGTCACCGTATCAAGACTGATCGTAATTCGTTATGGGTTCGGGTCCTTCGTAACAAGTATAAGGTGGAGGAAAGGCTCATTCCAAGTATCTCGGCTTCAGCAAATGATTCTGGTTTATGGAAGGCTATTGTTAAGTATTGGCCTCAAACTCTAGAGAATTCTCGTACCATTTTAGGGGATGGGGTTCATACGTATTTTTGGATGGATTCGTGGGTGCCAGGATGTTCTCAACTTGTTTCTCTGGCCGTTCAACCTATTCCTCCTATTATGACTCATTGGTCTACGTCTCAATTTGTAACTTGTTATGGTAATTGGAACTGACCTTTATTCCAGCACCTTCTTCCTACTTCAGTATTAGACAAGATTCGTAGTGTGCTCCCTCCTACAGTGGATCCTTCTCCGGACCGTGTTATTTGGGCAAGTAGCCAAGATGGGGTTTTTTCCAGTGAAATCAGCTTATAACTATCTCATGGGTACCTCGCATTATCATCAAGATAGGATTTGGAAGGTAATTTGGGCTTGGCCTGGTCCTGAACGTATTAGACAATTCTTAGGGCTTCTCTACAGAGGTTCTCTTTTAACTAATGTTCGTAGAGTGCATCGTCACATGGCTACAGATGCAGCGTGTCTGAGATGTCATTATAATCTTGAGGATAGTTTACATGCCATTAGAGATTGTCCTGGTGCCAGGGAATTATGGGAGCATTGGGTTCCTTCTAATAACCGTAGTGACTTTTTCTCCTTGGATCTTCACCTATGGATTCAGACAAATCTAGGATTAAAAGGTCCGTTTCAAACTGATCGAACTTGACCTTTGTATTTTGGGGGGATAGCTTGGTGTTTGTGGGGGGAAAGAAATAAGGCGATCTTTGATCAAACTAGCACCTCAAAGTATGGTCTCATTAGGCGCATTACCTACACTTGTGGTAATATTCAATTGGCTAATGAAACCCTTATTAAGATTGGTCATCAGGAGCTTAGAAGAGAGGAACATCTTATTCACTGGAATTTTCCCTCTGAGGGTTATGTTAAACTTAATGTGGATGGTTCCAGCATAGACAGTGGGCAAAGACTGCATGTGGTGGAGTCATATGGGATGCTACTTGGAATTGGTTAACTGGTTTTACAAAATTCCTTGGGAGTGGTACTTCTACTTCAGCGAAAATTTGGGGGTTCTTGACAGGTATAGATCTGGCTTGGCATAAGGGATTTAGGAGAGTCTTTGTGGAGGGTGACTCCAAGGTGGCTTTGGAATTTATAAGAAAAGGGTGTGACGTAAGTCATCCTCTTTCTGCTTTAATCATCCGAGCTCGTTGCATGCTTCAAAGAAACTGGATTATTCAGCTTAGTCATACTTATAGAGAAGGCAATTTTGTTGCTGATTGGCTTGCTACTCATGCACCTCATCAGGATGGACAACTGATTGGGCTGGATGTCCCTCCAACGACTTGTTTGGAATTGTTTCGTAATAACTTGAGGGGAGTTAGTCTCCCAAAATTATGCCCAATATAAGACTTTTTTTGATATTGCTTTAGTTTTTATTGTATTTCCAAAAAAAACAAGTCTCAGAGATAAAAAGCCGGTCATAAGCCCGTTAACGTCGGCCCGTACTGCCATAAATTTCCGAGCTCGGGCCCAATAATAAGTAAGCTTCATTTCTGCAAGTAGAGGTAGAAAAAAAAAGGCCTATGGCGGGAACGGGAAGTGATCCGCAGAGACAACTCTTGAGCCTCATCAGAAATTTCGCCACAGAGAAATCTCAAGGAGGTACCATGGTTGCGTTCTCTAATTTTCCTTCCCTGTTGTTTTTATTTTCCCGAGAAAATCGACTTTATTTCTCTCTGTCTCGTTTCATTTGATGCTTTGCTCCTTAATTTCTTTTGAAAGAAGAATTAACAAACTCAGCTAGCCTTTTTTTCTCTTGCTTTTGCCATAATAATGTTTCTACGGTCAAGAAACGTTTCTTATTACTATCTCTGAATTCCTTGAATGGCGAAGAACGAAGAGTGGTTAATCTGAGAAAGCAGATCGAGAAGCTTATATCCGATTTGAGCGTGGCTAATGCTGAGCTTGAAAATGCGAAGCGCTGCAAAGAACTCATCGAACAGGAGCTTAAAGGCTTTGAAGTTCAATTGTTCTTGAGTGAAGCTTCGGCTCAAACGCTAGAGGTCAGTTAATAGTTACCTGTTGCTACTTTCACTCGGTTTCATGTCATTTTAATAGAATTTCTTCGCGACATTTGTGTTTTCATCCACTCAACTTGAAAATGTGTTCACAGGCGAGGGTATCATTAATTCAAGATGAGATATCTGCTGTGGGAACTGATTTGGAAACTGTCAAGGTACTCACAAATCACAACCCTGTCTTTTGGTTTTCGATTCTTATGATGTTTGAACTTCTCATTCGACGTGTATCTTCTGGAAATTGTGGCTTCGTGACGGAAGAATGAAGAAGCAGCTTTACGGTAACAGATTGCCACTCTTCTGTGCTCATTTCAATCATTTTGGAAATAAAATCTGTTGGTTAAATAGACTTACAAGTCTTGCTAGCGTGTTCAGTTTTCTTACATTTTTTGCAGTGAGCAATTCATCCACAACATGATTGATCTGAATGTGAAGATAAGGTTCATCTCGTTGATGAAAATATTATGCATTTTTCAAATATATCATCGATTTTATGCTATTCCTCATAATGTTGGGTGGGGCTCATCAATAAAATAGCAATTATCAATTTTAAAAATCAAATTATATCAAAGTGTTTCAATTACTGTCTTCGTTTCTTGCCACTGTATTTTTTAACTTTTGATTATCTTCTGAACCCATATTGCTGATTGTTCGTGGGGTCTGAACATGTCTTGTAGGTATCCGTTAGTACAAATGTCTATTCAAATTCAAGTTATTAAGAGGTTGCCTGCCTAATATATAATGTGTGAAAATTCAAGTTGCTTTAACAAATCATGAGATTGCATTATCTTGTGATTCTTCCTTGTATGTTCTTAATATTATGATAGTTGTCTATTCCCTTGGCTGTTTACAAGAAAATATGTGCATTTGTCCGCGGAAAATTCTTTGAGGCCTTTGACATCAAATTTGCCTCAAACAAGCACGTTAGACCCCCCAAAACAACTTAATACTTCACCGATAAGAATGCACATAAAGTTTATTTTTGGTCATGATATGTTGTGAAAATCCCCGCACTAATTGCATATTTATTGAAATTTGGCCATATCAAAAACTTGATTGTTCATGAGCCGTGTTGTCAACTTATCTGATAACTTAATGTCGTGTATCTTACACCCAGTAACTTATAATATGTATTATTCTAGATATTCAATGTAGAAGTCGGAAGGTGTCAAGTTTAAAGTGTATCATTATAGATGCAGGTTTAACAACCTTACAACATAGTTACTAATCCCTCATGAAATGCAGGAAATTTCAAGAGAGCATCATTACTTGCGACATTGATGCTGTAGATTGTGCAACTTCTAGAGGTTCTGTGATTCTTTTCACTGTTATAGATGATCATTGTCAGCCTATGCTTTGTGGTAGTAAAAATATTAGGATATGAGCAGGGTGGAACTGGAAAATACTTACGTTGAAAGAGATGGAATTACTTTTTTACTTTGTTTCCGTTCCTTTTGACAATGTGCATTTGCTTTATGTGGACAAGATTAAGCAGTTTGTCATTTCCGGTACTGATTTTAGTGACCTCAGCCACTTTTTTCATTAACTAATCATTTAAAAATTAAATAACTTCTTTCATCCAAGTTTTATGCCAGTCTAAATACATGTTTTTATTACATAGAGAAGACATTGATACAGTAAACTGATAGATCCCAACCAGTAACAAAGATGAAGAAGAAAACAAAATAGAAACATATATTGATTAAATCTGAGCTCAAGAGAACTCTGTAAGTTCAGTACACTCAAAGAAGGACAATAGAGATGGAAACTTGAGATAAAAGCAATAAAATACATGAATGAGGCTCGGAACAATTAGAGCATAGTTATTAAATGCGGATTGCGGCCTGATGCGGCCAATCCTCAAAACCGCTATAACGTTATTGCGGGTTGCGGTTGCGGAAATAGCAGAAAAAATATATTTATTAAAAAACAAATTATATGTATATATATGTGAGTGTGTGTGTAACATAATAAATTATTAAAAAATAATAACACCTTAAAAAATACAAATAATTGAATCTGAAATATATTGTATATTCAAGTGTGTAAGTCTGTACAAGGAGGCTCTCTATTTATAGAGACTAAAAAGACCTAATGGGATGACCTAATGGGCCAAGCCCACAATCTAGACTATTCTAGACTATTCTAATAATAATAAAATAATATTATTTCTAACACTCCCTCTCAAGCTGGTGCGTATATATCAAAAGCTCCCAGCTTGTTACAAATATGATCTATTCGGGGACCTCTAAGAGCTTTAGTGAATACATCCGCAAGTTGATCATTGGAATTGACAAATGCTGTCTCGATCTCCCTTGACTGGATCTTTTCTCTAACAAAATGACAGTCAATTTCTATATGCTTGGTCCTCTCATGAAAGACTGGGTTAGAGGATATATGCAAAGCGGCTTGGTTGTCACAAATGAGCTTCATAGGCCTTTGTTCACAGAGATGGAGTTCCTTCAGCAATTGTCTCAGCCAGATGAGCTCACAGGTTGCATTTGCCATTGCCCGATATTCTGCCTCCGCACTGGATCTGGCGACCACAGTTTGCTTCTTACTCTTCCAAGAGATCAAATTTCCTCCGAAAAGAACACAATACCCTGAGGTGGATCGTCTATCTGAAGGAGAACCTGCCCAGTCAGCATCTGAATAACTAGAGATCTCTGAACTCCCTTTATTTGTATATAATAAACCTCTTCCTGGCGCCTTTTTAATATATCGGAGAATTCTAATAACTGCATCCCAATGGGAGTCACAGGGAGAATCAAGAAATTGACTTGCAACACTAACTGCGAAGGAGATATCTGGCCTTGTCACAGTAAGATAATTCAATTTTCCAACTAGTCAGCGGTAGCGACTAGGATCTGGCAGTGGCTCCCCCTGTCCTGGTAATAACTTAACATTGGGGTCAATATGTGTATCAATGAGTTTACAGCCTAACATGCCAGTCTCATCTAGGATATCCAGTGCATACTTCCTCTGACAGATGGAAATGCCCCGCCTAGACTGTGCAACTTCGATCCCCAAGAAATATCGAAGTCTGCCAAGATCTTTGGTTTGAAATTGATTGAATAAATGCTCTTTCAACTGATCAATCCCGATCTGATCACTGCCTGTAATGATAATGTCATCAACATAGACCAGGAGATAAACGCACTGGCCAGAAGAGCTATGCCGGTAAAAGACAGAATGATCGGCTTTGCTTCTGATTAAGCCAAAGGATTCAACAACTGAACTAAAGCGGCTAAACCAGGCCCGAGGAGATTGCTTCAGGCCATATAAAGATTTCCGAAGTTTACATATCATTCCAGAATTCTCCCCCTGAGCAACAAAACCTGGTGGTTGCTCCATATAAACTTCTTCCTGCAAGTCACCATGTAGAAAAGCATTCTTAATATCAAGTTGGAGAAGAGGCCAGTGATGAATGGCGGCAAGGGCAAGAAACAAGCGAACAGAAGCCATCTTAGCAACAGGAGAAAAGGTATCCCCATAATCAAGACCAAAGATCTGTGTGTATCCCTTGGCCACTAAGCGAGCTTTAAGGCGATCAACAGTGCCATCAGGACCAACTTTAACTGTGAACACCCATCGACAACCAACAACAGACTTCCCGGGAGGAGCACGAACAAGATCCCAAGTGCCATTAGAGTGAAGTGCCTGCATTTCATCAAGCATCGCCTGGCGCCACCCTGGATGAGATAGTGCTTCACCTGTGGTTTTAGGGATGGAAACAGAAGAGAGACTAGAAATAAAAGTAAAATGTTGTGAAGAAAGTCTGTCATAACTCAAGAAAGAATAAAGGGGATGAGGATTTCGAGTGGATCGAATACCTTTCCGAAGGGCAATGGGAGGAGTCTCTGATGGAGGATCCGGAGGAGAAGAGCCGACGGGAAAAGGCGATGAGTCATCAAGAGGCAAAGTCGGAGGAGGTGCAGGCTGACGACGCTGGTATGTGAGGAGAGGACGATCTGCAGGTATGGAGGTAATTGGTTGCTCCTCTGGAATAGGGGCACCTGCAGCTGGTAAAGACAAGTCAAGAAAAGGAACAAGAAGGACCTGATCAACTTGTGACACTGGAGACGGAGTAGAGTGAAAAGGCTGCTGATCAAGGAAAGTGACATCAGCAGAAACGATATAACGCTTGAGATCAGGTGAATAGCAACGATACCCTTTTTGAAAACGGGTATACCCAAGGAAAATACATTTGAAGGCCTTGGATGTCAACTTGTCTTTACCTGGAGTAAGATCATGAACAAAACAAGTACAGCCAAAAATATGTAAAGGCAGAGGATAAGAAGGTGCTCCGGAAAACAAAATACTGTGGGGAACATCATTATTTAGCACAGAAGAGGGCATGCGGTTGATAAGGAAACATGAGGTGATAATAGCATCTGCCCAAAAACGAAGTGGGACGTTCATATGAATGAGAAGAGTACGTGCAGTTTCAACTAGATGTCTATTTTTACGTTCAGCGACTCCATTTTGTTGTGGAGTGTGGGGACAAGTAGTCTGGTGTATCGTCCCATGTGTATCCAAAAATTTAGAAAATTCAAGAGACACATACTCTTTTGCATTATCACTGCGCAAGATTTGAATAGAAGCACCAAATTGAGTTTTTATTTCTGCACAAAACTTTTGATAAATTGAAAATAACTCAGAACGATTTTTCATTAAATAAACCCAAGTGCAACGGGAGAAATCATCAATAAAGGTTACAAAATACTGAAAACCCAAAACTGACATAGTCCGACTCGGACCCCAAATATCAGAATGAACAATAGAAAAGGGAGCAGCAGCTCTTTTATTGACTCTACTAGCAAAGGAAGAACGAGTATGCTTTCCCTGCTGACAAGACTGACAATTCAAAGACTTAAGACCTGACAAAAAAGGAACCATATGCTGAAGCTTCGAGAGACTTGGATGACCCAGACGGCTATGGAGAAGCTCAGGAGACTCTGTGAGAGAGCATGCAACTGGAGCAGAGGGTGCATGCAGATAGTAGAGACCTCGTGACTCACCGCCCGCTCCAATCGTCTTCCCCGTACTCGGATCCTGCATAGAAAAAGACTGTTTAGAAAAGGTGATAGAGCAAGAAAGAGAATGGGTCAATTGACTAACAGAAATTAAATTAAAAGGAATGCCAGGGATGTAATAAACAGAGGTTAAAGTCAAGAAGGGAGTTGGTTTGGCTTGCCCAATGCCACGAGCAGGAGCCTTGGTGCCATCAGCAAGAGTAACAGAGGAAAGATTATTAGAAAAGGTAAGGGAAGTAAAAAGATCCTTATTACCACAAAGATGATCAGTAGCACTTGAGTCTATTATCCAGGGTCCAAGAGACGATTGAGAAAAACAAGCAACATGATTACCAGTATCTGGAGCAGGTGGCTGAGAAGAACTCTTCTGGAGAAGGGCCTCATAGTCTGCAGCGGAAATAGTCACTGATCCGGTAGAGGGCGGCACAACATCTGTTTGAGCAAAGTTCATATGTGGTGGCTTCAAGTGAGGGTACTTTCTATAACAACATTCTTCAATGTGGCCCAGATATTGGCAATAATTACACCGAGGCCTTTGTCCTCGGCCACCCTGTCCATACGACATCGTCTGTCCGCGCCCGCCTGGGCCATATGAAGTCATGGGCCCGCGACCGCCTTGTCCGCGGCCACGACCACGACCGCGACCACCATTGTTCCAATTACCACGAGAGACTAAAGCAGCAGAATCAGACAAGAGAGCAGTAGAGTCAGTAGCTGTGACGTGTGCGGGAGCCACCTTATCTTGAAGATTCAGAAGGCGCTGAAAGGTCTGGGATATGCTGGGAATCGCAGTACTGGTTAGAATGTTCTCACGAACACTTTCTAATCCGTCAGGGAGACCAGAGAGAGTCACAACCGTAAAGAGACGCTCCACTTGCGTCCTGTACACTGTAGCATCCGCAACATGAGGTAACATAGCCAAAAATTCCTGCATCAAAGAACGAATCTTACCAACATAAACTTCCATACGAGCTTCGGGTGATTTGCGCAAATCCATCATCTGGGAGACAATGGAATAAAGTTGTTGAATATCATTGGTGTAGAGGTTTTTGGCTTCCGTCCACACATCATAGCAGGTCTCAAAAGGAATGAAAATATTGAGAAGAGATGAATCAATGGATTGCCAAAGAATACTGAGGAGCTGAGCATCAACTTTCTCCCATTCAGTCATCTGATCTTGGGAAATATTAGTCTTCTTAGTGGTGAGATGTTTGTCATGGCCTTGACCGGTAAATCAGATCTTAACGGAGGTAGACCAGGTCTTGTAAGTG